ACACACACACACACACACACACACACACACACACACATATATATATATATATATATAGAGAGAGAGAGAGAGAGAGAGAGAGAGAGAGAGAGAGAGAGAGAGAGAAACCATGTGATTATGTGAATACAAATACACTTAATATCTTTATGAGATTGTGGTGGCTTTTTCAAAAGAAAAAGTATAAAATGAGACCATTTACCTATGGTACAAGGTGGTCATAATTGATCTTGACCATTGGATGTGAAATTGGGTGACTCCATTTATTCCATTGGTCAATCTCAAACTTCAAAAGAAACTTTTTTGAACTTTGTGACACACCCAAGTTATCAAATTTCACATCGGATGGTTGTAAGTAATTGTAACCACCTTGTATCAAAGGTAAAGTGTCTCATTGTATACAATCCATTTGGAAAAACTGACATATCTGCACATAAAGGCCTGTCCTTTTGAAGTACAGTGTGCTACTTGTTAGCTTTAAGCCACTCTTGAATACCCTTCTCGACTTCAGATAGGCCCTCTTTCTTGTCCTTTATTGGTCCTTCAAATAACTCGAAATAATCCTTATAGTTGCGCTTGTAATAACTGTCCAACCTCTGTATTAAAGAGCCAAAGAAATAAGGCATGGTGTCAATGATAATATAACATGTTAGTAACTAAGCTGCACCAACCTCTTTGTCATTTCTTGCTTTGTTTTCCTCAGACTTCTTCAAGTATTCTGACAGAAGATCAGCAAAAACAAGTGAATTAATTATCCAGTGATGCTAAGGTATAATGTCATGATACCCTATATTCCAGGAACATTAACCTAACTAATATTTGAAGTTTAGATGAGTCCTTTCATTAACTTCTATCATGATTTATGCCAAGAAGGAATGTTATGACTACAGTTAAGACAATGGCTCACACTCATATTTATGAAATGCACAGAACACACTGGCTTCCACACACACACAGATGAGTACTAGCACTTGAAGCACAAAATGCATGCACACAACACAAACACACTGAGAGAAGAGAGAGAGAGAGAGAGAGAGAGAGATCCAAGCTCATCTTGAATGTGAGTGTCACCATACAAAGATAGACTCCGTCATATTCCAATGCTTGCAACTATGGTCATACATCTCCCTTCCAAGTTGATCTATCTTACAATACCTCCAACTATGGAACCTCAATCCCACTAGATCCATCTCTTCCTCTATAGCTCCAATATATTCCAAATCTACCTCGTTACTTCCTTCGTTCCCTGATTAGGTTTGAATGCCTGATCAACCCAATGCACCTAATATCAACCCCCGTTGTCTCAAAGCATATAAACTTCTCTTTTCCCCATTCCCCTCTTGTGAGTCTTCCATATCTTTCAGTCCTCCCAAAGTTTTATGATTAATGGTTTCTCCATCTTTAACCCATAGTTAATTCTCTTCAGGAATGGCATTAAGGTAATTGGACTCTTCCTTTGAGGCCTAACCTTTCACATATATGCTTGGGATAATTCGGTTCTGTATTTTTGCCACAAGTTATAGCACATTTTTTGAATTCAGGTGTCAAGGAAACAATGTAAAATAGCCCATAACTGGCTTTTGAAAGATGGAACAATGTACTCTCAAGGCTCAAGCTCCAAACCTGTTAATCTATTTTCAACGTTACCCGTGTATTTGTGTTTTGTACTACTCCATGACCACTTGGAATTTAACTCCAGCTTTCTTCCTTGGGGATATGAGTACAGCTAACCCTGCAAAGCATAAGCAGCCTATTCAGAACTTAGAACAAGGAAAAATTCATCTCTACTCACCCCTGCATTTTCTAGAATCAACTTAAACCCAAGGTGCCAAAAAAGGAAAACTTAAAACCAAAGAGAACCTCATTGTCATTGACATTCTACTTGAAAGAACGTCATTGACATTCTACCTGAAACAACTCAAAGTTCGAATACTGTATTAAGTTAAAAGTGCTAAATTTTAGATAAATATGGAGACAAACTTGCCTCTTTGCATGGAGTTATTCCTCTTGGTGAGTCCCTTATCTATCCTCCTAGGGAGAAATCTAAAGATCCAAGCACCTCTCTTTGGCCTCAAAGGCTTTGTCAACCATTTGATGGTAATCCACAACAACAATTCTCAATACCCCTTGCTGGTTCTTTAGTTACTATTTTTCGATTAAACCTATTCAAGTCCATTGGTTCTTCACTGCTATCTCTATAGCCCCTGCCTTGTCTCTCTTAAAGTCCATTGATCTTTGGTAGCTGGCACTCTACCAAAATTCCGTTCCTCCCATCCACAAACTTTTATCTAGAATGGCACCTTCGGCCCTACATGCGCTTTCCTCTATCCTCTTCATCTTGACTGGACTATCTTTTTCTTTTTCTAACATCTTTGATGCACCCAACCTCATGAGCCTATCCTCTTCGTTCCCATTCCAATACTCCATCTTTTTTCGACCTCCAACACAAGTCTCATCCACTTTATCTCCTCCATGACTCCTTATTTGCTAAGCTACTGGTTCTAATGTAGTCCTTGGAGACTTTACACTTCCATCAATCGATAGAATTTATATTTCAGCTTAATTTTCAGTGACACTAGTATGTCACTAAAACTACCATTGCCATCCTAAAGACTTCAAGTTGTTTCAGTTCTATTTTGTCAACCACCTCATGAACAACTATTCAAACCCATACGGATTGAAAAGAAAACTACTCAACTCATTATCTCAAAATTGATCCTCCCTTGGTTAGAACTAAGCCAAGTCAAACCCAAATGCTAATCTCAGTCAATATGTAAAGGGTGCAGTTTATACAAGGCGTCAATCTTAGACAAACCAAGTAAGGCGTGCCTCTGCTGAAAGATGGAGTTCTGGTGTTGGAAACCCCTATGATGTCCTAAAAATCTATTCCACCCCTAAATATGAAATCTGAAGCTACAAAGCTTCAAAAACTGTGCGGATTGAGCAGATTTACAAGCACTCAAAAATATTGAAAATGGACATTCCAAATAATTTGTTGCAAGATACATGATTTTTAGGTCTTAAAATCCATTTCCTTATCCATATCAGTGTAAAAAATGAAAGTTTGGACTTATGTAATCTAACCGGTGTATATATTCTTCTTTTCTTCTTTTTCTTCTCTTTTTCTTTTTCTTTTCCGACTTAGATCAATCACAAGTAGTTCATTACAATATAATTGACTGGAAAAGAAATAAATGCAAACAAATCTACGATCTAAAACTTGACGCCACTAAAACGTTTCTTTTATTAACAAAAAAAAATACAATGCTATGCTTGGGAATAACAAAAGATCTAAGAAGCAAATATGGCAAGCAACAAGAAAGAGACTGCCAGATATTACCTCAACCGGACTTATTACACCCCACACCGAGTTACCACTTTTAAATGGCGGGGATCAATGGTCAACCTTCAATCTCAATCTTGGGAAAGCAATTAGGTCAAACCTCTAATGGACAATGAACTCCTTTCAAAACTTTGGATCTCAAACAAAGGCTTTACCCCTTGATCACCTAGCTGAGAGATATAGCATCTCATTACTAAACCCTTAACCCTTTAGGCCATGTGAAAGATGGGAGATGAGAGAAATCTTCTACTATGTGTGGCATGCCCCTTTCTTTGATTATGAGAGAGAGAATGCCTTATATAAATCTATGGGGCGTGCCCCTATCTTTGAACTAAATAGAGAGAGAGACTCTAGGTGGGGCATGCCCCTCTATGGGCTTAGAGAGAGATATAAGAGAGAGGAGAGAGAGATGTGTAGGTTGTAGAGATATGGGAGAGGGCACCCCTTTTTTATAGTGTTTCTAAGGGTTTTAGGGTTTCTTAGGGTTTTCCATAGCTTGCCTCTTCTTGTGATATTGAATATGCATCATTTATCTTAGGCGACTTGTGGGGTGAGAGATATGAGACCTCCATTCCATAAATAGGTCATCAAGATCATATGGAATCTGCTAGAACCTTTATCCCCCATTTCCTAAACCATTTTTGCATCAATTAATTTTTTAAAAAAAAATTTAAAATAATATTGTGCTTTTATATTTTTATGCACAAGCCTTCTCACACTTTTCTTATTCAATTTCAAAGCTTCCTTCAAACACAAGCTTTCTTCACTCTCAAGCCATAAGTTTGATACAATAAAGGAAAGGTTCCATAAGGTGGGGTGTGCCACCCTAGGTGGCACTTTATGGGCTCCACCAAATTGTCATGGTGAGCCCATATACATATTTGGCCTCCCATGCAATATTAAATTAATTTATGATTTTTAGAAATTCATAAAATCCAATTTGAATAATCAAATCAATATAAAATCAATATCTTTAGTTTTATAAATCCAAATTTTATAAATAAAATACCCATATATTCAAAAAAATTCAAATAACAATTCTAAAAATCATTTAACATTAAAACGAGAGAAAATTACATACATGTCCGTTATAGTTTCTGTTATTATGGCTCTACTTAATAGTTTCCATTATTACCACCGTGTCCGTTTCTTTCATGCCAAAACGGAAATTTAAAAAAAAGACGACTTTACCCTTTTTTGATTGTTGAATAACTGAATTAAAAAATACACCAATTTTGGTTATTGAAGAACCAAAAATTTTAAATTTTCAGTTCTTCATGAACTGACAAATGTTTTCTCTCTAGTGGCATATTTTCTCTACCTCTCTGAAGTCATAGTTATTCGATAAAATCAAAGGGGAACAACTAGTTTGAGCCCCTAAATTTAGGATAAATCTTAGAGATTATGAGATTAGAAGATTAAGAGAAATCTTGTGCCGTATTCTCTCTCTACCTCTTTGAAGTCATGGTTATTCGATAAAATAAGGGGGAAAAGCTAGTTAGAGCCCCTAAATTTAGGAGAAATCTCAGGGATCATGAACTTACCCCAAAAAATGGTTATTCGATAAAATAAGGGGGAAAAGCTAGTTAGAGCCCCTAAATTTAGGAGAAATCTCAAGGATCATGAACTTACCCAAAAAAAAAAAGATGTTGCGTGAAGGGGAGAAAGAGAGTTTAACAAAAAAAACATTTTTAGCCATGTGACATAGAGAGAGAGGTAGAGAGAGGATACGCAAACCCACAAGAGAGAAAAAAAACTTTTAGTTTTTGAAGAACCGAAAATTTAAAATTTTTCGGTTATTCAAAAACCGAAATTGGCCCCGTTTTCGGTTGTTGAACAACCGAAAATACTTTGAATTCGGTTGTTCAACAACCGAAAAATGGTAAAGTCATTTTTTAAAAAACTTTCCGTTTTGACATGAAAAAAATGGATACGGTGGTAATAACAGAAACTATTCGGTAAAGCCGTAATAACCGAAACTATAATAGATATGCATGTAATTTTCCCTTAAAACAAACATAATTAAATAATTTTGATGGGAAAATGATCCATATGGTCTAGGAATAAATAAATAAACACTGGGGCACTCCACCTTCTACTGTGGACTACGATCCACAGTTGCTTTCTCAAACCGACCAAGTGTTGCCTATGACCCACAGTCTATTCAGGGGCTCATTAGCCAATGGGCAAGGGATCGTAATCTCAGTTTGTGAATTTCAGGTTCTCCCCTAGATACATACCAAAGTCACTTAGACTTAATGCAACTACAGCTCTATGGTGCATAGTAGTAATCTCTCGCACATGCACAAGCTTCACCCTGAAAGGTAGTTTGCTTTCTCGAAATGGCTATTATATGTGCCTGCCATGTGATGGTACGCGGATGAGGCTTTGGCTCCGTCTCTGAAGGTCTCCATCACACACAAGGGATACACAGTCCCTTGGCTCACTCATCCGGTCATACTCCGACCTTATCAAGGGATAATCCATTATAACCTTTATTAGCATGGTTTTAAAACTCGGCCGAGTAACTCAGCCTCGCTTTATTGGCGAGGCGAGTTCAAGGCGAGTTGGTTATACAACAATTTTATAGACTATATTTATATTTATACGTAATTTAAATTATATAAGTCATTAAGTCTCCCTGGTTATCGTCCATACGTAAGATTTCACAGGTTTCCTATGGTTAGGTTTCGAATCCCCGCATAACATCAATTTTTTATAAAAACCTGTCACTTTTTTTTCAAACCTTTCCTTTTTAAAAAAATGCACTAGACTCAAGGGAGTTACTCGGACTCGCCCAAGTAAATCGCCTCGGTCAGGGCCCTAATACCTTGGCCGAGTCGATTATTTGAACACTGTTTATTGGTTTATTCCCTATGCCCATGTAACATGGATTTTTTTCAGCCGACTGGCCTAACTCGTCAAACTCAGTCTGGTATCAGCAAATATCGTTTACTTAGTATGGTCCAAACCACATTCTCACTGAATTTATCTTCCATTATATAAAAACGTTCAATTACAACAGGTACACCCAACAAAAAATAGTTTATGAATTTTAGGAGTTAAAATCCTTTTCCTTGTCCATAACAGTATAAAAAATCATTTCCCTTTTTCATATCTGTACATCTCACGGTGAACAATTGAAGATTTTTCAGCATCGGAAAAAACTTTTCGGGTGGGTTTTTGAAGTGCGCCTTACTTCTATAGTATACGGTTGACACCTTATACAAACTTTTTCCATATGTAAATTGACAAAACCATCAGAAAAGGAAAAGGTAAAGGATTTGATAAAGAAATATCCAACATATTGTGCATTTAAATTTATCAGAGCAAACAATATCAGTTTCTATAGGAAAGTGAGAGCTTGGGAAGCTATAAAATTTTCAACCAAACTAAATTATCTTGATAAATGTTGGATTATTATACTAAGAGTAAGTGTAAAGATGCAATGAAGCAACAATAATGACAAGTATTGTCTCTTAGAACAAGATTTTCATAATTCAGGCCTCATTCAACTCGGCATATCACAAGCAACAATTTCTAGCAGTACCCATCATCGAAAAAATCCATAATCCAAAAGAATATCAATTGGGTAGAGAGAGAAACAAGAAGGAAACCAGTGGGTAGAGAGAGAAAGTACTCTGAAGAAGTGCATTCTTGGAGCTGTTAGTTTCCGAGAAAACAACTGTTGGGGTTAGCAGCAGAGAAAGGAAGCCCCGCCTGCCCACTTCCTTCAGGGGCCTAGGGCGAGAATTTGATCTCCAACCATTGAATGGTGAGATATAGGAATGTAATGACTTGGGATTTGTAGAGAGAGAAAGAAGACCAACTGCCATGAATGAGTAGCTTTTCTGTGATAACATCCAGCATTTGTGCCGAGGAGAGGTTTTGGCGCAGGGAACTCCTGCGGAGCATATAAATCTGGCATCTACGTGTGTGGCACATTCTAACGTGCTTTTGGATAAGGTCGACACCTTAAAGTGGAGGGAAAATTATCGGTATCAAGCGGTCACAAATACTCTTCTCCATCTTCTTTCAAATTCGGTGGTTGTAACAATATTATTAACTAGATTCAAAATTTCATAAAAAAAAGAGTTATCAAACTTTATGATACACCCTAAATCATGTGATTTGACATATAATGGCTAAAAACAATTGAGATGTCTTTGTAACAAGGGTAAATGGTCTCGTAATATACAATTCTATTGTAAATTAAGTTGCATCTCTATAAAAGGCTATTCGGAACTTGCAAAACCATCTAATTGACCATCTCAATAGTGAGACGTATGGATACGAAAAAAAAAATATTTCAAGTCTCAAATATAGCATATCTTGTAATATATTATCTGGACCGTCCATTTACAAGATTTTCATGCATTTATAGATCTACTTTATTTGAACTATTTTAGAAACCAAATTTTATAATTAGAGATGAAAATAAAATCTCGAGCCATCTTAAAAATTTTGACACCAAAATTACATCTTATGATAAAGTTTGGAGGTGCGGTTTACTTTGATTGTTTAAAGTTGCAACCTAACGCAACCTCACCCTGAATGTGTATATAGTATACGGATCTATACTTTTGATGAGTCCACATGTGCCCCCTCCCCCAAAAGGGTCTTTAGATATAGAATTTGGATGGGGATGACAATCTCCATCATGGCAATCATTAATATTAAAAATAAATATATTTTGAAATTAAAAAGATGCTTTTGATAATTTGTTATATGCCATTTATTTTAATTTTTTGTAGACGATAATCCAGGAGAATGAAGAGATTGAGTAAGATGTTTCACATAGAATTAGAGCTCAGATGTGCATTTGGAGTTTTATGTGATCGCCGCATACTATTGAGACTGAAGAGGAAGTTCTATAGCAGTTGAAAGACCATGCATACTTTATAGAGCAGAATGTTGGACGGTTAGGGCAGAATGTTGGGCGGTTACGAGAGAATGTTGGGCGGTCAACATATCCATAGGATGAGCGTAGCTAAGATAAGGATGTTGAAATGAATGAATGGCAAAATAATGAATAATAGAATTCACAATGAATACATAAAAAGGAACTTAGGTATCGCTTCAATAGGCTTTAAGATGAGGGATGGTAGACTTAAGTGGGCTGACCAAGTACAACATAGACTTAATACAATACTAATTAAGACATGCGATTTAGTTCAAGTGGAAGGCTCTAAAAACGTACAAGGAATGCCCAAAAAAATATAAATAGAAATAGTGAGAAAATATATGATGACTTTTGGTCCTACTGAGGATAGTAGTCATTGATCGAGGGAGACCTTTTTTAATTATCTTTGAGATGAGTGTTTGATGCGTTAGGGGATGCAATACATCAAATACTTTTTCTATAGTATTTAGATCCATTTTAGCTCAAAATATTATTGCGAATATGTTGATATATGATGAATTCAGATAAACAATGATTAATGGTATAAAAAAGATTTAAAATACTGTCTTTAAAGTTCAAATTTGATTTTTATTATAATTGTTTATCACGGTAATTGAGAAAATCAACCTCATTTTTTATGCGAAACCTAGATGTATCCTTATGAATAAGTATTTTCAAGACCCCAGTTTGTTGGGATTTAACCTCCTCAACCTAGGCCTAGGCAAAAAGAAAAGATTTATAGACATTCTATTAGGGTCCGAGGAATATAACATCGATTGAATGGAGAGATCCTATTTTTGCCCGTTAGTTGTAACTTTTTACAAACTTGAAAGTATATTTCTTTTTCTAAATACTCATATCAGGAAATGGATTGCAAAATTCTTTGTTGAAAAATTCCTCTTAAGAGGGTTTTATGCACGATGGAGTATGTGTACAATGTGGTGAGTACACTATTCACCAAAAAAACAATAAAACAAAAAAAGAGGGGTGAGGTTTGTACAAGGTGCTCTCCATGAAACTCTGTATGCACCCCACTAAATTTCGTCAGGAGATGCAGTTACAGCGTCAAAAACTTTATGATGGCTTCAAAATCTGTTTTCTTCTCTAGTCATAGGATTTAAAATTTAAAAAATAAAACCAATTACGCTATTCTATAAACACTTAAATATTAAAAATAGACTGTTTAAATAACTTGTGACAAGATGTACTAATTTTAAGACATAAAATGTTTTTTTCTTTATAACCAAACATCTTAAAGTTGAAATGATATAATTGAAGGGTTTTTCAACATTAAAACACTCTCTTCCACATGATCTATGAGGTGCACTTTACTTCAATAATATAAGATGGATGCATTATTTCTCTCTGCCTTGAGCTCTTCTTGAGATTGAGACGTGTTTGTGTTAAATCTCTTAAATGCAGATGGCTTCTAGAGAGAGAACCGCATTATCCAATTGTAAGACACCTTATGTATGCTTTAAAGTTTAATAAAGCAAACTTAATAAAGCTGCAGCAAAGTTAGAAATGGGCTTGATCGTGGTAATAGCACCCCACACTTTAGTCACTGATTTTCATTCACCACCTACTAATACCTTCAAAGAAATACTAACTCATACTATTTGAAAAACAGAGTACTTATGGAAAAGATAAACAAAGGGAACCATTTGAAAAACACCCAAAAACAAAAAACATTGTAGCAAAGACATGGAAAAGATAAGCAAAGGGCGACTGAAGTCAATTGATATGGGTAAATAGGTTTACGTTTTTATTTTACACCAAAAAATATCATAAGAAACCCACTTAAATATTTCCTTCAAGACAAATATGCGATTAACACTTTTTATTATAGCGTGCTTTTGAAAATCCCATTCAAGAAAGTGATTGTAAAATTCCATTTAGAATCAAACTTTCAAAACATTTTAACAAGTAAAACCCATGGTAAATCATACTTTCCTAGTAGCCACGAAGGACTCAATAAAGTTTTTGTGAAAAGTATACAATGATACCATCTACTTTTAATACAAGGATGTCCTAATCATTATCGTCCATCAGATTTCAAATCGTGTGATTGTAAGAGTGTCGTCAACTAAACTCAAAATTCAAAAGAAAATTTCTTTAACTTTATTAACACATATAAAGCCATCCAATTTGACATGTAATAATTAGAAGTAATTGTAACCTCCTTTTATCAATAATAAATGATCTTATAGTATACAATGCTACAGTTTTGCATCAACTTTCAATAATAGACTTCCAAAATGTATGAAGACTTCCAAAATGTGACAGATTTGATAACAAGAACTTAGGACAGCATTTATTTAGGAATTCCATCTAGTTCCACTATTCACCAGGCCTCCGAAATCTAATTTCTAGAACCATTTAATCCTAAGAAATATAGAATGCAATGATTTTGGATGTAAGACTTTATTATACATTATCTAGTGACACGTACAATTATCCAGTTGATCATAAAGCCTATTCTACAAGTTGTTGCCCTTGCACTTCGGGACAACATGTTACAATGTAAGACAAGCCTGGCTTCTGAATAACCAAGAGAGCCATCCCATGGTAAACAAATACAATCAACAACGTCGATAGATAGATAGATAGAGAGAGATCCCATGGGAAACAAATGTAATCAACATCGAGAGAGGGAGAGAATGTTTTCATCACCTATAGCACTTGGACTCACCTGAGTGGGTGTTTGTGCTTGCAGCAAGTGATGAGAGGAACAAGGTACACCACCAAAACCCCCCTCGAAACACGCCGGGAGGGGGTACCAAAGGAGAACTTTGACTCATTCGAGCAGTCGCTTGTGTTTGCACCATGTGATTGCCGCAATGTAGAGAAATATGCTACCAGTAGCACCACCACCAACTGTCCACAGGAACTCAGGCATACCAGCCTTTTCGGATGTGAACAACTCAATCTTAATATTCATGCCAAACACGCCAACCACCACAACAAATGCACTCACAACAAGAGTAGCAGTAGTTAACATGACCCCCATTTGCAAGAGATGATTTTGCTTGTCATCAAGCATGATATTGATGTAATCCTCTGTGTCATCCACATACTCCCGCAGCTTTGGTACACCAACCACCACCATGTAGGAAAGAGGCAAAGAAGAAACTAATTAGAGAGAGAAAACTGAAACCTGTTTATCCTCTACATTGTCCACTGTTTTTCTGCAATTTTTTTAATACCTAGCAGCGGATCAACTTTAACGAGAAATAAATTAAAGAGAGGAAAGGACCAGAAAAAGGTTCAGCTGAGAAGGTAACCAATCTGTATTTTTTTTTTTCAATTGCCCATTAAAGTGCTATTCTGATCATGATGTTGGATGGTTTACTTATTCATTAGGTATAGTTTAACCTGCACCCTGCTTCAAATTCAATTGCAGGCTCAATTTGTGCTCATATGGCCAGTTCTACCAGTTCATTTGGTTCCATATAGCTGGATCCTTTTTTCTTACTGAAAAATAAGCCTTGATTCAGTTTTTCCATTTCTTTTCTGACATGGGTTTCACCTCCTGTTAACCCTCCAGCTCCACAGCACTTTGGGACTTTGGGGGTATACGTGTGTGTGTGCGTGAGAGAGGGAGAGCGAGTCAGCAACATTTCAAGGAAATAAAGAGGATAAATTTACACTTCAAGGGCGTTTGGTTGGGGATTCAAAAAAATTAGGAAAAATTGTGTCCACACCATATTTAAATATAGTAATTACAATAAGGTAATAAAAATTGCAAACTTTATGCAGAGGTTCATTTATTTATTCTTTTCTTTTCAATTTTGTCCCTCAATCCAATGTTGGAAACATCTTATATTTTTTTTGTATGTTTTAAATTGTTTGAAATGTAGGGACCAATCCTAGGTTTAGATCCTCGGGCCGCTCTATACCTTATACTTCTTTTAAAATACGCGGTCCAATATTGGAATCATCAGAATGGAAGTTTAAAAAAGAAAGCAAAATAGGGCGGTCCAATCTAATTTGGTCCTACCCAACTACCGAATAATAATTCAATATCCAGTTGTGTTTTATGGGGTCCGCTAGACCCCAAATTTTTTGAAATTTTTACAGTTTCTTTGATCCCATGAACATTCTTACCTTTCCAAAATGGCGAGTCCACCTAAGCTGTTAGAACTTCATGAAATTCTACCAAATTTTAAAAGTTTGTGGTAAACTATGGCCTTTATGGTCGGGTAGACCATCTTGGACATAAAGAGCTTGAATAGCTTTATGGGAGTTGTTCGTTGTTTCGGTTTGATATGAGGGATATGGACCCGGCCTATTTTGTTTTTGTTTTTAAAAAACCTCGGTCGACGTCTCCAGCATAGGACCATGTACTTTAAAAATTTATGAGGAATTGGTAGTCCGATGTTTCCAAACCCTATACTTCAAAAAAAAAAAAAAAAAAAAACATGCCAATGTTTAGAACATTGGACCAAAGGGCAAAAAAAAGCAGCAGCCCAATGTTCGGAATATCGGACCAGTACACCTCCTCATAAATTTTGATAACTTTTGAACCTTCCCGTACATAATTACCATATTTAAATATTGTATAAACATAAATTCTAGAAAAAATTACCTAAGTTTATCCAAAATCGAGGTTTTTTAGGACGGGGTAATTCTAAATCTCGGAATATGCCATTTAGCATCTAGATAAGATTCCTCTATGGACTCAAACTACTTGTAAAACCTAGGTTTTGTGTATTTCATAGGCCTAGTTGAAATGGAGATGATGTGGGGTAGGAAAAACGATGGACATGAATAGTGGAGGAAAAACGATGGACATGATTACCTGGGTAAAAAAGGTACCTTTTCTGGATAAACAAATCTGGGATGGGTTGACTCTTCACCCTAAAATAGGTTTTATGGGGTGATTTTAAACCAGGATTTCAGAGAGAAAAAGTGTAACAAAGAGCCTTCTTTTTTGAAAATCTAGGTTGTATACTAATCGGGAGAGTTTTACCCAATATCCAAATGACCCCTTCTATCAAGCAGTTCAGTTGCGACATTTCTAGGAAATAGAGGGGTTAAATTGACCCTTCTAAGTTATAAAGCAGTTAACCTATCCTCAAAGAAAGAAGCTATCAAGCTTCTCATAAAAATGGCAATTGTCAATCCATGGTGTGAAGTTTGATATGCAAACCGCGGATAGATTGTTGAGTATCCCATCAATTTGCACAAAATAAGCCTCCAAAAGCATTTCCAGCTCCTCTACATCAAGATGCTTGCTACCACTACGAGTACTACTGGTGCGGGTGCCATGGCCACTACTTAGTAAACGAGAGACAGCATATACACTTTCCTGATTATCATCATTTTGAAGATCCCCTTCATCATTATTTGACACATCATGTGCTTCCATTTCCACAGCAATCCTGCGAGATTAACGAAGTTCTCACACTAAGTATTCCTATATAAGAATGTAAAAGAGAGTGTATTGAACATGGCCTAGAAGCCAAGAGGAGTCAAACGACTTACCTTCCATCCTCCACATCAGATGTAACAACACCATTGTCTACACTCTCTCTTCTCTCATTCAATGAAGCGAGAGAATCAGAACCATCTAGTCTTTGCTGAAATAGCTTATCAGTCAAGTACATCTCAGCCATGTCTTCATCGTCATCCAATAGATGTTCAAGTTCATCCCTAACCTGACATAATGACAATTTGGAGTAAGGATGTATGAATGCAAGCTCTACACAAGACCCATTTTGTATCGATATACAACTGCTCTCTATAGCATAATACCTTATGAAATTTGTATAAATAGTGCCCTATGTCTTAAATTATGCTCGACCAATCTGTCAAGTCTGAACTATGCTGTAGCTGTATCATTTGTCGTGCATTTAAATTTACTTGTTCACTATTTAAATTTTTAGGTGTAATTACAATGCTTCCTTTATGTTAAGTGTTTTTCCATATTTCTTACTTTTCCCTGAAAAAGTGTAAGATTTTCTTCCACAATCAAATTGGTAGTGCTTAATGATTTAACTAAATTTGTTTAGAGTGCTTACTAACTCTATGAATCCACAATGGATGAATATTTGTGTAACTAATGAAGTATTCATACATGTTAAGGACCAATTTCAAATCATATTTAACGTGAATGAGAACCATAAAAAGTTCAGAATCATTTTTTCTGTATATTGCATTGATGCTTTATTATTTTGCTTAGTTGACAAGTCCTAGTAAAGAAAAGGATGATCATCCATGACTCGGGAAGCTAATATCATCACTGAAGATATAACCTGAGCTTTGGTTACGCAAAAATTAGAATATTTAGTATGATCTCAAATTACAAAATCTAGTACTGGTCAAATATTTTAAGTTTATGTAATCAGAATATTCAGAAATACTATTCGAACCTTTTGCATACAACCAGTAATTGCAGCCAATGTAATCAGAATATTGAAAAATTACTGTTCGAACCTTTTGCACACGACCAGTAATTGCAACCAACTGGCTTTTGATTTGTCGGACACGTTCCAAATTGAGAGTGCTGATCTTGGATGTCAGCTTATCTAAAGCTGGATGTGCGTCATTTTCCAATTTTCTAGCCTAATTGAAAATAAAAATAAATAAAATTGATCAACATATAGATAGATGTCTCACACATAAAAGACTTCCGTACCATATCAAGAACATAATTTCTCATATGCAACTACAAACTACCTCAAAAAAGTGGCAGATTCAGAAGTTAGTCCAAAGCGGAAAAGCGGGCAATGGTGATACACCACTTTTTAAGGAAATAGAATCACAACAAGGTTCACACAATCAATAAGATAGTCAAAAGTGGGGTTTGGAATGACTCTTGTTTTGTATGCTTGAAGATCCCCGTGTGCTGGCCAGGGTAACATTGATCGAATAAATCTAAGTATGCATTGTTCCTCCCAAAAAAAAAAAAAAGAAAGAAAGAAAAACGATAAAGAAAGAAAAGCAAACGAAAGATGCAGAAAATGGAGATTCCCAAGTTGGATAACCTTGTAGTATGAGTTCTGAAGTCCTGCAGCTTCCAAGACCATCACATCAAGACGATTCCACTCTGGAACAACTTAGTCGCCATCAAATGCAGATTCATTGGAGACACTTTCTGTAGTTAGACGATTTATATGCGCTGGTTAGAATTTCCACCCCTTTTCTTCTAGCTCTTGGAGTTTCCTAAGGGACAACTATTTCATTAACGATGCTAATGCATCACAAATTTTGCAAGCAAAATGAAGCTTGAATGCCATACTTGAGTGTTATTAATAACCGGCAAAGAATTTTTTATAATTCCACCAAATTTTAGGGTGGGAATATTAAAAAATGGAAGATAAAAGAAATTCCCCCAAAATAAATTACAAGGTAACTTTAAGAACTTCAAAAGGAAAATGGTTTGTTGCAGCTGCTCCATGGTTTTGCCGCACCCAAAAAGCTTGAAAGTCATCTTTTACTCTCCATGATAAATATCCTAAGACAAAATGGATTTGGAGACTTCAAAATGCTCCATCTCCACGGCCATCTTAAAATCTGATATTAACTGTCCATACCAATGGACAGATATCGATCGGATTTTGACATTTTCAGGAACTATAAATCCATTTTTTGTGATAAACAACGGTTTGCAGATGTTTTAGAGTGTCTTTCAATGCTCAATCTTTGAAAAAGATGGTGTTTGAAGTGCAGCTGCACACAGTAGTGGTGCACCATTGGTGGACTTTTCATTACACAAAAATCTGAAAATAGAACGTAAAAGACAACAAAATCATGAGATTATGCTCGAGGAGTCAACACATTTCAGAATGAGAATGACGCTTATGTTTCTGTGTGGTAATTCACTCTCCAGAACATCTAATTAGTCCCAATACGTCAGTTGGCAAAACATCTTTCCTAGTTTTTTGCGCTTACAGATTCTTCGAGAATACTAGATCTTTTTATATAAGAAGAAAAGTGAAGGCAACATGCCATTTGGACTCCATGATAGGTGAATATCAAAGTCATCTACAATTTCAGGTTTCAACCAGAGAAAGAACATGCCATAAAAGCCAATGATGACTAATTACCAGTATATGTATTTTGTAAAGGGAAACAAACAGAGGGTCAGGATAAGGATAGTGGTATGCCAATGGACCAGGCTTAGAAATGTTACACCAGCAAAACCAGTCAAAAATCAAATGGTCATATGATCATATCGAATGTATATATCAATAGATGGCACCTATTGACAGTAAACTACATAGTGATAAAATCGAAAACTGAAACCAACAAAGCCTATTCTGTCCCTTATAAACAAGGTCAGTAATTATAAACAATAACAATACTAGTGGCTACTTGAATAACATGGAAAAACAGAACCATCAACGAATGAAACGCTCAGATCCCAATCATTTTCTTCAAATTGTAAAAACCAAAATGCCTGAAACATCAACCAATGCATATAAAACACTAAGACAGAGGTACTGAAGCAAAAAGATGCAACTTGTGAGAGGGAGTAACCTCTTTTTCCAAGCAGCCACAAGCAGATTCAAGGCAGGCTTCTAATGCAATAAACTCAAATGGGAGCACTCTTGGGCCCACTCCACTCTCTAAACCAGGTTGCTCTGCTGGTTTTCCAATGTCATTTGTCTCGTGAAACATTGAGAACTCCCTTGGATAATTGAAATCAGGGTTCAATGTCGCAGATTGAGCCTCTGTTGAATCATACATGCTCCCCCAATTTGCATTTCCATCGCCCATCCCACCTTCCTTTAGCAATAATATCATTCCAACACAAAAATGTGAACGCATCTAGCATCAGCACAATTGTAATAGTTATCCATTTATACAAGGAATAAACATTTTTCTTTACAAGAAGCCTGGGGAAAGTACAAGCACAAGCATATAACAATTGTGATATATGTTTTAGCATTCTAGACTAATCAGCATGCTCATGTGAAAACAATGTGAAAACAAAGAAGACAACTAATCACAACAAGGATATATATAAATAAGAAACAACAGAAGAAAAGTCCACCATGCCGAGAAAATACCTCCCTTCTAAAACAAGAATTAATTTGGAATAGAAATTCAATATCAGGGACCACCCACACAATGTGATTTCCATATTCACATTTTTTATGAAATTTTATGAGTCATATGTTTTCTGCTTTATTTAACTTTTCGTTGGTCATTGCGCACTATTAAAGTTCACTATTCTTGTCGTTTTCTTTTCTTCCCAAATGTGTTCTCTAACTGAATTATCCTGGATTTCTGCATGTAACTAAACGGAAAATTTCACAAGTCCCTTACCTCATATTGGAGTTTCTTGGAGAACTCAATTTGGTATTTAATTATTGTAATCCCTAGTAGTCTTCAGTAATATAGTTAGATTTCACTTAATTACGTAATTTTACACCCCTGCAAACCTTAATATCTGAAACCATAAGCAATTGAGCCATTACACAATAATAACTCATATTTTCAAAACCAAGAAAGATCCATCACCAAACAACAACAAAAAAAAATTAATCGAAACAATAAATGAATAACAACAACGGGCGATGATGACTGTAATGGTGCCAATGATGATGATGAAGACGAAGATGAGTGGTGATGATGATGATGCCAATGGTGAGTACAATGACCAATAAACCAAATGGAAAATAACCAAACCCTAGCAAAACCCCATCACCTGCTGCTTAGCCACACTCTGAAACCGAACCAGGCTCCTCTGCAACTCCTCAATGAAATTCAGTACCAAATTTTCCTTCGAATTCAACAACAAAACCTCATGAGCAGTGATAATCGCCTTTATATGCTCCAAGTTGATCACAATCGCTCGCTCTCTCCCCAAAACAGTTGATGGATAAGAGAGCAAAGGATCCAGTATTCGCAAATCACGAGCAGGCAAGCCCGTTCTCTTCATAATCGCATGCTTTCCGGCCTCGACTACTTGCGTCTGGCCCGATGCATCGACCAGGAGCCACGGGCGCACGCCGACGCCCTTCTTGCGAGCCCCAGGGCGCGCCGACCCGCCACCCTCAGCCGCGTCGTCATCAAATGGGCTCAACGGGTATGGCTTAAGAGGTGGTGCTCGGGCGCGCATGGCTATGGGGTTTATGCAGTTGTTTTGTCAGAGATTTTTAGTTGATTATCAATGGAGGATAGAAGGGTGTGTAGAGTGCAAATGCAATCGCTACCGACTGGGGCAGAGGGAATTTGGGGTCCGGTTCCATGGGTTTTGTGGAGATGGGAGAAGTGAACAGTACACGTGGACTAAACATACGTCAGATAAAAAAACAAGGATTCTGATTTTTGCAGTTTATTTGTAAGGAGATTATAAAATGGGATTGTATAAATTGACACTGATTACCTTTACCTACATTGACGTGAAATTTGGTAGTTTTGGTGTCATAAAGTTTTAAAAAACAATTCTCGGTATTGTCAATAGAATAAATGCAGTCACTCAATTTCATATATAATAGTCATAATTAATTGAGATTATCTTCTACCAAAGATAAATACTCACCTTTTATATTTTTCTCATAAAATATGTATTATTTGTCAACTATGTGTTATTATTTTACTCATTTTCCATTATAACTTTATGAAAATAAAATAAAGCCTCATCTCAAATCCTCATCTGAAAAATCACTTTTAGCAAAAGAAATATCCATGATGGCTCTAAAATCAATTTTCAACATTAACAACAATTTTTTAAACTAAAAAAATGGTACAGATCTTGTGGATATGTAAACACTTATTTTTATCGTAAATTGGATGGTCTAGATAATTTGTGACAATATACACTATTTTTGGAGCTTGAAATCCTAATTATTTTTTACAACCATAATGATCAAGTCGAGATGATCAATGTAAATATTTTTCATTGCTTGAATTGTGATTTTGGATGAGTTATGAGGTGAAGTTTTACTTACTTTTATAGGGTTGCAGCCCTATCAAACCATTTTTCTACATTTCATGTGTTTTGGCAGACTTTATATAATTAAATAAAAATAGAGAAAATGTCGGACACTTGCATTTCCTAGATGCATTTCAATGAATTTATTTGGTTTTTATTTTGGGAAAGGTTACTATATTTTCCCTATAGTATAGAAGATCTACATTTCCCCTACCATCTAGCCCTCCAATTTTGATCAAGAGAGCCATTCACCGTTTTATATTAGATCCGACGTCTCAAAGTATTTTATTTTTAGTTTTTTTTTTACACAAATGGTATGAATATAAAATTTGGTACATGTCATCTTCTCATTGGGGAGCACCTATAAAAAAATATTAAAAATAATTTTTCGATAAAATATAATTACCAAAATACCCCTTGAAACTTTCAAGGGTATTTTGGTCATTCTATTTTATTGGAAATATTTGTTTTATATTTTTCTCTACTGCGAGTTTAATATAGGATTGGATGTCCAAAATTTAGTGTCAAAATAATTTATAGAAAAAAATTAAAAATAAAATAGTGTAGAGACGTGACATTGTGATTGGGACAATCTTAACCCTCCATTCAAAATGGACAGTTGAATAAGGCGAAGTATATAAGTTTTATACTATAGTAGAAGCATAGAAAGCTTGCCTTTTTATTTTTCATATTATTCAAATATCGATTTGACTCAATAATGACCGGCCGAACTTGCTATTTTAAAATATAATTCGGATTTTTTAAACACAAGATCCATACACTACTTCAACTGGAGAATTGGTCAAGTGTCTTTTGGCTTGGTGTTTGAGGGCTTGGATCCAACTTTGTTTTTCGAGGAATTTATCGAGGGGGGAGTGACCTTACTCATATATAAATTATGGAAAAAATTACAAAAACTCCCATTGACATCACCAAAGATAGTCCAACACATATTTCAGATTGGAACCGACACCACATCAACTTCCGGATTGTGGCAACAATCTGTGGGACCGCATGCAACTTATGCCGGACCGAGGCATCAGAGCATCGATCGAAGCAATAATCTACTGTACCACATTTAGCAAGTATCAGATCGAGGCATCATAACTGTCGGACCACAATAGTAGTCTGTCGGACCGCACTTACAAGTGCCGGCCTGACGGCGTTCAACGACCAAATGGAGGGCATTTTGACCCAAAGAACTATGACTTTTTGACTTGGGGGACGTATTTGCTATAAAATTTTGTTTTGGGGTAAACTTTGTAATAAAAAAATTGGTTGGGGGAGGCGGTAAAGAAAGTTGAATAAAGGGGATTTTGTAATTTTCCCTAAATTATGTGCGACCCTACTTCTTAGTTGTCTTATCTGAAGAGAGAGCCAGGATTGCTCATGTTACAATATCACACCAAAACATTATTTGATTTCTAATTTTTTCTACAAAATATTTTTGAGTGAAATTTGGGGCCTCCCATCTTCTTATTGGGGCGCACCTGGAAATATATATATATATATATATATATATATATATGAAGATACTGACAAA